TCAGCAGCTCCCTTGTCCAGTAGGTTAAGGTGTGGGCTAGTGAAGTCCTTGGGTCCTAAGAAGATCAGGAGTAGGTGTGCTGAGGAGAAATAAATTCTGGTGTAAACTGACAGTTGCAGTTGTTGGATAAGCGTGTAATAGTGTTGTGATCAACATGTATTGTTCTTCTCTAGCACTCTGCCCAATCAGCTCTGTTTATTCTCAAGGGTAGGAGTGTTCCCTTCCCTTTTAGGTAGGGAACAAAATAATATTTTATATATATAATATGTCTATACATTTTTTTCTTCTTGAGGAATCGTTTCTGTTTCCAGAAAACATTTAGAAAAGTGCTCTGTGCCAGGCAGATGCAGTTTTTTGTTGAGTTGGTTTAGTGTTGTATTTAATCTAATGACTCTGCTGATGATGGGAAAAATACAACACATGATTTGACAGTAGGTGTAAATAATAGAAGTAATCTTTAATGAGAATATCTAGTGTAGAGGAAGAAAAGGTATAAAAGCAAAGTACTTAAAATTTTGGTTTTCATTAGTGATAGCTTTGTTTTTTGAAGACTTTTAAAGTGATAATGAAGTACTGCATGAGTTTACACTTGCTCTGACTGCTCTCATGTGTTGTGTACCTCAGTGCTGGTGAACGTCAACGTAAGGTTATGCTTGGTGGCAGTGGCTTTCTTGGTCAGGGTGTGATAGGACCTTAGTAATGCAGTGCTGTATAGACGTTAGAAGGCCTTTCCAAGAAGCAGCATTTGAAATAATGTTTCTTCACAAGTTTGTCTTGCGTCTTTTTTTAATTGCTGTTGTACTAGAAGAAAAACACTAGAGAAAAAGATATCTGTAAAAAGCTCATGGGAGGAGGACTGCTTAGGAGGGCTGCTGTTAATTTCTATTCTTGAAGTAGTAGAAATTAGTAGAACATATTATTGAGCGGCACACTATTAAGCCTCTTCTTAGATGAGGCACTGAGAGCGATGACAGTGTGAAAGGAGACAGGGTGATGATTTTGAATGCATTTATTCTCTTTTCTTAAAATGAGGAGAGTGTATTGTGTTCTTTTGGGAAGCTGATGGTTTCAGTAGTTACAGCACCGTTAGCTGCCGTAATGCTAGGTACCTTGTAGTAGACACTGTGGCCCCGTGTAAGACTGAATGACTAAACTGCCTAGAAATTCCACTTAATGATATTGGGACTTGGTTCTCCTTGTCTGCTGTAGACCTTCTGCGTAGTGAGAAGTAGGATAAACAGTCTAATTTAAATGTGCTGTTACTTGATTTTTTTTTTTTAATTTTTTTTTTTTTTAATTATTCTTGTGATTAATGTGGGGCAGTAAATTGTGAGGTGAAGGCACTAGAGAGCATAAGCAGTGGCAGATAAGTTTCCTGTACTGATACCATTCTTCACTCCCATGTAGCGTAGCTGGAAGGAGTGAGTATGATTTGAAATAAACAAACTCTAAAACACCTTGAGAAGCTTTTTAAATGACCCTCCTCTGGGAAGCTGGTACTATGAGGATATTAGATCTCCATCATAAATAGTATTTTAACAGGTGAATGAGATTGTAGACAGTTTAACAATAAGTTTAGACAACACCAGGTATCACTTATTACTGGCAGGCAACTGGATAAAAGATCTCTGTGCAGGAGAATCTCGGGAAGTTATTCTGTAGTTTAACTAGAGCTAAAATAATGTTTTATTTGGAGATATAAACTGCTCTTAATAGTCTGTAAATAGGCATCTCTATAATGAAAAGCTTTTCAACAAAGCTGGAAGTGTACTGAGATGCATAGCTGCTTTCTGAAAGGTGGAGTCAGTGACTGAACTCCATCTAGCAGCAGTTATCAAGCTTCTAGATCAGTTCCCTGTTTCGCTGGTAATAGGTTAGGCTGTTTTTTACATCCATACCTCATTCTTTGTCCTGCTCAACTCCTGTATCTCATATCTCTGTGTCTGGAATAATGCAATTTATATTACCTAGTCTTAAAAAAACACCAACCCAAACCAAACAAACAAAGAGAAAAATCCCACCCAAACCCCAAAGTCACTCCAGATTCCAGCTAATTGTCTTCCAACCTGTACCTCAGCTTCCAGCACTTTTCTCTCTTGTCAAAGCCATAGCACTCAGGTGCTCTCTTTGTGCGTCAGTTCCTCCACCCTCTCATTACACTGAAGTTTCCCGAGGAAATGTCTTGCACCTTCCTAGCCTAGTGTCTTGCTGTCTTACTTAGTCGGGCTGGGTTTCATGGAAGAGAAAAGGCCCATGGCATGGCCCTCTGGCATGGCCCTGCTTTCCAGACAGGAGATGGGGAAAAGTGAAAACACCTTCTCCCTGCTGTCACAGGGCATGCCCCAGCGCAGTAGCCATGCTTTGACTTTCTGTTTTCAGTGGCTCAGATGATATGAGACACTCTGGCGGCTGAAGAGGAAAAATAGCTGGAGGGTACTGGAATGTTTGAGATGATTTTGGGATGGCGAAATTAATTAATTTTCATCACTTGTCTGAATGATGCTGGCATTTTTTGAATGCTTGGCTGCTATGTAGTCTAGAAGGATATCTATGATTTGATATCAATGTTTCTGTTAAAAAATTTACTGTTGCTAGACTTTCTTTGGGTAAATTGTCAGGCTTATTTTTTTTCTTTTAACAAGATTGGCATTTATTTTCCTTTTAGGAAGATTTTTGGTCGTAATGTTACCATTTTCTCTATAAACTAATCAAAGCAATGGGTGAACAGGTGGTGCCTTGCTTACTGTAGAAGAACTTAATGTTGACCACAATAGAAGCCTGTGCCATTCTCTCTATTTCTCTGGTGTCCTAAGAATTGCCTTGGTCAATGTTGTACAACTTCCTATTAAACAAATTGAGTAAAGCGAATTGCCTCAAAACCTTAGTTAATGTAGCCAGAAATGGGGGGCAGGGAGGGGAAGGGAAACTAGGAAAACTGGAAGAAAAAAAAAAAAAAAGAGTGGAGGAAGTAGGCTGTGTCAGACAAGAGGTACTGTAGATGAGAGTTCTTGCACAAACAATAGCAAGACTTAAAAAAAAAAAAAAAAAAAAAAGGGGGGGAGAGAGAAAACCAAGGACATATGCAGTAGATTACACACTGAAACTCCAAATACTGCTGAAGTTCTTGTTATTGAACTGCTGATCTAAAGAGCACTAAGCCTTAGTGCTCATAATGAAACCATTAAATAAGCTACAGAAAAACTTCTGTGTTCTGTGGCTTTGTCTATTCCTGGTGGTGTTCCAATGCAGATGAAAACAAAATGACACATACATGATGCAAACTCAATGGGAGGATCATCTCTTTTACTGGGAATGGCAGAGATTTTTTCAAACTGGAGCGCTTCAGAAACATGCCAAGTCAGCAGTGTATGCGAGGGGCAACACTTAACCGTAACTACAAGAGTAAGCCATTGTAGTGCTGTCCGGTGCTGGACTTGAATGGTGAAGTGATAACTTTTTAATATCTGCACGTGTAGAGGATCTTGCTTGACTCTGCTGAGCCAAGAGATGGTCTTTCTTTCTGGTTGGCAAGACAAAACAAGGAATGCAGAATCTGGAGTGTCTTTCTAGCAGAAAGAAGGCAGGGATTCATGGGCAAAAATTCTTTCATAGGCAACTATATTATTGTCCTGGAGTCTAATATATAATAGAGCTTTGGCAGTTTTAACTACTGTCAGTCTTAACTACAAGAAATTCTCTTCTGAAGTTACAGAAATATAAAACTGGCTGCAGAATTAGATCTGAATCCTATTTATATATTGAGTCGTGTTCATCTGTTAGAGCGCATATTCATTCTGTGTATTTTTAGGGCATAAACCAGAGAGGCCTGAAGACGCCCTGAAGACACTGAAAAGTTGCAATCCTGTATTTGGAATACACGTTATGAACCCTTTCTGGAGCATGTCTACAAGTTCTGTGCGCAAGGTAGATATTTAATGAGTGGATGCCATAAGGTGTTAACATGCATTGAGGGGCAGTAGCAGTTCTGGAAGAGACCATCAGATGATCTACAAATACAGTTGGAGTGTGTGTTTTATACTGAGGATTGTCGTCATCTTCAATAAAAGCGTAAGCTAGCTTTGAGCTGCATTAACTGGAATGTGAATGTGGATGGGGTCTGCTCCAGAATTTGTTGACTTTTCTTATCTGAAGCATGTTTAAGTAGGAAAGATGAAATAAACTTGTTCAAATGGTTGAAACACTAGTTTCTTAGGACATTTGTTTACTGTCTTATATAGACCTTAGCCAGGTATTGCATGTATAGCAAGTGTTGACAAAACTGCACCTCCATAATGCTATTGCTGCTTTAGATTGTGTGTATAAAAGCATGATAGTTCTAGGGTTAATCGCTTCTCAGGTGTTCAGTGCTAGAGCAAATTATATAACTCTGTGGATGATGCTTGTGACATAGATATTGTTACTAGTCCAAGTCTCAAGCGCTTTGAAACAGTGTAGCCCAAATCATGCCTTTAGTCACCACGACTAGCCTAACCACAAGTCTGTAGTCTGCAGGTTTGTCTTGGCAATCCATAGAATGATTTTGAGGTCTGTACGTAGTACAGTCTTCTCTAGCAGTATAGCAGTGACCAATTAAGTAGAAAAGTTTGTTTGTTTTTTCTTTTTAATAAAAGACAGCATAGGCATAAAAAGGTTCCTATAGCAAAGCTATTTAAACTGGGCTTGATATCACTATTAAATGGTGATTCTCCCGCAGTGGGAATGGGCTATATGATCAGCTCCAAGTAGGATGTAGGTGTCTTAACACAGGCAGGAAGTGAAATACATGAAGTTTTCTGTAGGAAGTTCTTATTTCATCTGAGCTTTACTACACTACTTTTAAAGACGCTTTGAAGTCTAGAGCGTGAGGATGCTTGTCAGTAGAAATGATTTATCTTGATGCACTGTGTGCTAGAAATAGATTGACTTCTAAGCTGATGTTATATATTATCCAGTTTCTAAATAAATGTAAGCCTCCTTAAGCATTTGTTCTAATCTGCAGATTTCCTATCCAGCATTGATTACTTTTGTACTGGTAGGCTAGGTTTGATTGAATAAAAGTCTATTTAAAAACAAAACCCGAAGAGACAGCACCCCCACCCCCAAGCAATAGAACACCAAAACCCAAGAGACATTTCTTTGCCCAAACTTGTAATTAGCAAGGTTGGGTTTAACCCTGTGTTAAAATATGTTCATATGTTAAATGTTTATGAAACACTGCCTGTAATCTCATGATTCTCTTTTAATCTAACAGAGACCTGAAGCTGAAGAGAAAACTTTGAGTGGAGAGCTGCGAACCAGTCCTCTACGAGCCTCTACAAAGAAACAGTTGCCTTCTATTCCAAAGAATGCTGTGCCAATAACCAAGCCTGCTTCACCTGCCACGTCATCCCAGTCAACAAATGGAACACATGCTTCTTATGGGCCTTTTTATTTGGAGTATTCCCTCCTTGCAGAATTGTAGGTTTTCACTTTTTTTGTCTTTTTTATGTCCCTGGGCTTGTGCTTCAGTGGGAAAAAAACGTGCAGGGATCTAGGTATTGCATGGTGTCTTTGCCTTAATCCTTGAAGAAGGCAGAAAAACTTAAGTTCCACAAAATTCTTTTTCTGGAACAGCAGTCTCAATTTCTTGAGGTAGCAGGGGAGAGGAAAATGAGATGAGATTTTAAGGGTTGTGTTTAGATGTGATTCTCTGAATTATTACATTTCTCAGTCTTCAGGTAAACACATTTTGGGTTTAGGCATCCTGACTAGCTATCCTAATAGCTTTTTGGTCAGAAATACCAAATTTTTGAAACAAGTATTAAAATAGAAGCAAGCAGATGTCTAGTGGGAAGATGGTTATGAATGTATGATATTGTTTAATGGAGTTAGGATGTGGGAGCTTCCTTCAGTTGTTACATGGAACATTTGAACACCGCCTGATATGGCTTATTAAATGGATATTAGGAAGATTATATTCTTTCCTGTCTTTCAGTGGTATTTAACATGAAACTTATGAGGGAGGAGTCAGTGTGATTTAAATAGCTTTCTTTGGGTCAGTTGCATTTGATCCAATATAGTGATTTGTAGCTGCTGTGGGAGCATACAAATCTCTATTTGTCTGCAAAACTTTCTAGTTATATAAAGTTATATAAACTGTTTTGTGCTACAAAGCTGAAGGGACTTCCTCTGTAATAGACATACTGGATTCTCAAGTATGTAGTGCCTTTTGGAATGAAATCCCCGGAGTCCTTATGCAACACTAAGTCTCAGTACTTGCATTTAACCATTACATTGAAAGTAAGAACTCTCAAAACATTAATTTTTGTTTTTTTCAGGGAACTGACCCTGACTTCTTAATTCAAGAAAGATGTTTTTCTTCTGCAGCATGCAAAAATACATTAGTATCATAATGTAAACTCCTCTAGTTTAACAAATTCATTATTAGGGAAATAATAATGAATATTATGGAAATCATAAGTGGAGAACTGTGTTAATATCTTGCTTTAAGATTATTGTTTATTTGTGCAAGCATGTGGAGTTCAATTTAATGGGCCTATATGCCAAGTAACTGGAAGACCTATGAAGTGAATGATCTGGTTTATCAGTTATAGCGTTCAGTAGAATCTGCATACCATACAACTACTTACTGGCAACTTCTTGTGTTCATCAAGTGGAGGGATGGGAAAAGCAAGAGTGAAAGAATATGGTTTCACTGGTTTTCTGCCACCTCCTTCTGTGAGCAGTCTGCCCTTGGGAACTGATTGTAACTTTGCGAAGAAGTCCTCTGTTAAGTTATTGGTAGTACGTTCTGGGTTTACTGTTGTCAGCTTGCTGTAGATTTAGTGTAGTTGTGGAGCTGTTCTAAATACTGATTCTAATTGCAGTACCTTGGTTGTAAAGCAGAAATTGCCAGGTGTCTACGTGCAGCCATCTTACCGATCAGCATTAAGTAAGTTTAAACTTAACTTTTAAAATGTTTTTTTTTATGTATATGTATTTTTAAATTCTTTCACTCAAGCAAACTTTCTCACTTGCAGTGTGGTTTGGTGTAATTTTCATAAGACATGGGCTCTACCAGGATGGTGTGTTTAAATTTACTGTCTATATTCCTGATAATTACCCAGATGGAGACTGCCCGGTAAGTGGTTGTGTGTGTCTTGGGTTTTTCTTGTTTTCTGGTGGTTTAAGTATGACTTTCTGTTAAAGCTAATATACCAATTAGCTTCTCATTTCCTTGAACTAGTTTTGTTCAGTTGGCTGGGCTCATTTGCAATGTCTTGTACATATTTCCTAACGTCTGTGGAGGAATCATGTTATTCTGATTACTGAGGCTGGTGTAGAGTGAACTTCCTGAGGTTAGATGCATTAGGGTATTAAATAATCAACCAGTTCTTTACCTCAGCTCTTGATCTGCTACTTCCTTGGCAAGGAAGTTAATGTTGAAACGCTTAAAGAAGTATCCAGGTTCTGAGTAGCGATATAATGGAACATAAAATCCAGGCACCTGTTCTGTGCTTGCTGTAGTGCTACAGGATTTCTTGCCTGTCTCTCTTCTAAATTACATTGAAACAAAGAACTAAAAGAACTTGAGGAGAAAGCTGGTGAAACAAAGGGAGAGGGAGATAGATAGTATGGTGTTACCTTCCATCTCTGCTTTCTCTTTTTCTCTTTAGGGAAAAGTATCCAAGTTGTTATATCAATAAAAAAATAAAATAAAAAAAAATCCTGTGGCAATCTGACTCTCCAGAGCAGAGCAGCCGGCCCTCTTGGCCAAATTTCTTTAAGAGGAAGATTGGGGGACAGGTGTATGCAACTGCTGTAGCTGAGAACGAGTTGCTATGTCCGGAAGCTGTCTGCTTGGTGTCAAGTTTTGTGTAAAGCTATCATCTTTAAAAGGACAGAACTAGTAGGAAACAGTTTCTTTCAAAGATTAGACTTTAGTATCTCTCATACAGCTGTCATTCTTTTGCTAGCATAGGGCTTTAAAACCTTCCTGTTGAAACTAAGTTTTCTTTTGGAAGAATGCATGAACACCAGAGGAAACTAGCTGTGCAGAACTGAAGAAACCACGGTGTCACTGCACAGTTTACTTAAAAATGTGTAGGGTAAAAAAAGTATTGATTGTAGCTCAAGTATGTAAAAAGTTTTCAGTCACAAATAGCTAAACCAGAAAAACTCCTTTAATCTGATCTTATCTGATACTATTACCTGTGTTGGCACTAGTGCTTGTGCAGTTAGCTGGATTCGTTTTCTGATTTGGTGGTAAGCATGTGAGAGAGGACAAGATCCTGCGTGTAACATGGGTGTGTTGGGTTACAGTTTCACAGCTGGTATAAATCACTTCAGGTTGCTTTCTTCTAATACAGTAACAATTAATTAGTATTTGGAAGCAACATCTGACTGACCTTCACCCAGTGGTTTTAACATTAGGATTGAAGTTGTCATAATGAATTTCTTTTTTCTAATGCAGCGCTTGGTTTTTGATCTGCCTGTCTTCCATCCGCTAGTAGATCCTTTATCTGGTGAACTGGATGTGAAAAGAGCATTTGCAAAATGGAGGTTAGTGGTAACATATTGATGTATAATTTGAAAGGAGTTTGTTCCTTTCTTCATTGTGTTTTGTTCTTTTTAGGCGAAATCATAATCACATATGGCAAGTATTAATGTATGCTCGCAGAGTCTTCTACAAGATTGATACAATTAGTCCTCTGAACCCTGAGGCTGCAGTGCTGTAAGTGTCTTCCATGCGTATAGACATAGTCTTCTAAGAGATTTTTGCATAGACTTGCAGAAACAAGACATTTGTAAAATTGTTTGTTAGTTCATGGTCTCTGCCTCTAAAGTTGAGGCTTTGCCAAGTCTGTCTGTGCTTCTAGAGCAAACCTGTGCCTCCTTGCAATTACTTAACATTACTTACTTCTCTCTTGCAGGTATGAAAAAGATATTCAGCTGTTCAAAAGTAAAGTGGTGGACAGTGTCAAACTATGCAGCAGTCATTTATTTGATCAGCCTAAAATAGAGGATCCCTATGCAATCATGTAAGTACCGTGAGCAAATTCATCATGTTCTAATGTTTCGAGAACACGTTTTGGTATAGTTGTTGATTTGAAGCCTTTCTTTGCCAAGTTGACTGCCCTATCTTTTTCTTACATTTTTAATAATACTTCAAATACTCCTACCCTATTTCCTTCTGTTTAGTATTGAGTGAATCTTAAACATAACCAGACTGTTTTACTGTTTACTGTTTTTATTTACTGTTTTTTCACTGAGCAACCAAGACTTAAAAAAAACCGCAACAAAACACCAAAACAATCAGACAAACGATAGCCCCCAAACCACCCCACCTCCCTCAAGTAGAGATACCCAGGGAGTAAATATTGCTTTTGGGCTTTCCTGAACTCAATTTGTGTAACTGTAGCTTTGGTCATACTTTTAAAATACTTTTAAGCTTGACTGCATGGGGGATGGAACAGTCAGCTTCATAGTGAATATGAGTAGTATTTCATGTAACACCTGCTGAATTGCTGAATTCTCATTGCAAACAAAAATGAAAATCTAAGTATTTCTTGTTGAAAAGATCCATGACAATGTGAATTTAGTTCTTCACTGTATGTTTTATCACTGAAAACTCAGACTTGTGGTATACTTAAAATTCAACAAACTAAACCAAGGAAAATTGCTGCTTTCTGCTCCGTCTATGCTGTAGTTTGCAAAAATGCAAAGTAAGAGATAACTATCCTTTCTCCATAGTTTTTCTCCGTGGAATCCAGCTATACATGATGAAGCTAGAGAGAAGATGTTGACTCAGAAGGTATGTGCAAAGTCCAGATTCTCATTGTAGTAAGAGTTTATTGCCTGATAAGGGAAGAAAGGTTCCCTGTCTCTTTGTGATGAACATGTACTAGACAGACCTTATTCCACGCCTCTTTTGGATCAGCAGGCGTGCTAAAACTGATTTGGTCTCCTAACTAAGCAGTTATGTCACTGTTCTAACTTCAGTGTATTAAGCAATTAATCATTTAGCCAGCTAGAAAGCTTTGTTAGTACAGTTGTTGGCACACTTGGCAGATTTTTTTGTTTAGGGATGGAAGGAAGGGAAGAAGGGAAAAGAAGAGATTTGCGGACTGCCTATTAGCTCGTCCTGCACTTGTCATGGCTGTTACCACTTCTGCATAACCTGACAGTCCCCAACTTCTTTGTTCTCTTCTGTTGAGAGATCTTTCATTACTGAATCAAAGCTTCAGGGCTTTCTTCTCATTCCAAGCTTTTTGAAGCAGCACAAGCAGAGTGAGTACCTTGCTCAGATCTCTGACGCTACTGATTTCTAGTAAGACAGCTAATTGAAGGGTGCCTAGACACAAAGCACTCTTACTGATACAGCAAGAATGTGTTGGTTCGTATAGGTTTCACCTGAGCAACACATTTGGTTTTGGGAGAGGGGGTGTTTGTTGGTTGGGTTTTTTTGGGGTTTTTTTTAATTATTTCTTTGCACTTGACAAGAGCTGGCACACAGCAATTCTGAGTCTGCACTGAATGGCATGACAAAGCCAATCCACTTGCACTGCTTAGGGATTCTGAAATGGTGGCTGGTATCTTTGCTGGACTGGCAAGGAAATGCAATCTGAATGTTTCAGTTGCTGACTTGGGCTCCTTGCACTCCAAACACACTGTGGTGTGGTTTGCTGCTTTTTTTTTAACTAAAAAAAAAAATTACTTTTTTTTTTGTCAATCCAAACTTCATTCTTCCTCGCTGTAAGCTTTAACTCATGTTCTTGCATGTCTTCTGGCATGAATGAGATTTTTACATTGATCTTAATACAATACGCTGCCTGTAAGCTCAGTGTAGCAATGTTCCCAACTGCTAGAGTCACAGCAGGGCTTGAGGTGAGGTGGCCTTTCTCCAGCCTTAGAACACACAGGAAAATATTTTGATCAAATTCTGACTTCTGGATATTCTTACAAAAACTTAAAAAATACTTTTGACTTCTCCCTGCCGCTTCTCCTTCATTCTCCACCTCCTTCTTTGTTATCCTTTAAATCAAAGACCTAAAGAGAAAGAACAGATTGAGGTGCTTCAAATGGAAGGGATATGATGTTGTCTCAGAGACCAATAGCAAAAGTAATGCCAGTGATGACTTTTCTTTTGTCCTTTTTCTTTAGAGATGCATGTTAATTTCCTTTTAAGTGAAAACTAACATCTTCAGTAACTATTGCATGCATGGTGCTTCAGGTGCTGGAGTAGTTTGTTGGTAGCAGGAAATAAAATTTCTTAGGAAATTTGTTCCAAATGCCTTAGGAGATTTGTTCCAAAATGTCAGTGTAGCTGAGAATGTTCTTCTCCTTCTCTCTAAAAGGAAGTTCCCTAATCATGTGTCCTTGTCTTTCCTTTCTTCTGCAACCCTGGATCCTTGTTTATTACCCGTGTAATTCCTGTGCCTCGGGAAACAACTAGGCCATTCTAGAACTGTAGCCCAGGAAAGGCTGTGATGTCCCAGTTCCCTGCTG